CCCCCCCCCCCCCAGATTAGAGTTTTCGTTTTAACCTTTCTTTATTTGGGAAAACTGATTTAAATATGTTAGAATTATGTAATTATTTTTCTTAAATACTGCGTAGTATACACTACAAAAATAATGTACAATATAATTATATGTACATTATTTTTGTAGTGTATATGTACAAATATGATTATTTATCAATGATGCCCTCTTCCCCCACAAGATCGGCTAGATTCACTCCTGCTGTATGAAACCAGTCTTCTTCCCTGAAGAGAAAATTTCGCGTGGCCACGGAGACTTATGTCTGCGGCTGCAGCCATCTAAAGCTAGCAGCGTTCATAATCAAACTGAACCAAATCATGAGAGCGTAAGCTTCGGCGGTCGGAGTGAGTAGCTACTTGGTTGTCCTGGAAACGCTGCGTCCTAGGGACAGGAACCAACGTTTCGGCATCCATTCTGCGACCTAACTATACATTAACACATGCGCAGTTCATCTCCTCGCATTTCGCCCAGAGGAAGGTCTCACAATGACGACCGAAACTTGGGCACCTGTTTCTAGAACGCGACAGCTCACGGACAGCCAAGTTATCTATCAACCACATCATATCCAAAATTAAAGGCTATTTAAGTGCTTTGTGTTCCGAAATTTAGGCTCTTTAGGATTTTCCAAAATCGTAAGCGCAACTATTTTTGTCTAATACTAGAAAATACAACTTTCCGTCATTGCAAGACAACGAGAATGCATTCAAAATTAAAGGCTAATTTCAGGATCTTGCGGAAAAACATTTCCTGACCATATTTTGCAAAAATCAGGGCTGGACAACTTTAGATTAAAACTAACCCATAATTTTGGAAAATCTAAAAGAGCCTGATTAAATTAACCTTTAATTTTGGATATGCTTTTATTGAGTTTTGTTTCGGGGGTTGCTAGCTTTAGATGGCTCGCGACTGCCCTAGTCCTAACACTAGGGTTACAGTATCGGGCATGCTTGCACTAGAAAGTGAAAACTGAATGTAAAGGATTTCGGTCAGTTTGCCTAGGGCTTTCAATGTTGTTGAAAACTGTTTCTTGACTTTTCTACGATATGCGACAGGGCTCCGACCTTTGAGATTTACACTAAACATCCTTCAGTTTGCACAACGCATTGTTTCCAGAAGCATTTTCCGATTTTTAAGCCAAAATACTATACTTCTTGTGAATACACAAGACGTCTAACTTACTTTAGTCAGTGCCCTTTGGCTAAAACCAACATTAGCCGGATGAAGTCCGAAATGATCTGTTCATCATTCATACAACTGTATCAAAATTTAGGCTGTCAATTAATCGGCAAAGCCTTACGTGAGCCGAAGATTGACGGATTTACGTGACGGTGGCGCGGCACCGCACACAGGAGCAGCAACTGCGCAATTGAGCCGCAGGGCATGTCGAACGATGTGGGCAAACGCAAATTATTTGGTTTGCCTTTGTGTCCATCCACTCTCGCAAGTCGCACTCAAAGCAGCAAAGAAAAGCAACGTCAAGTGGCGTACGCGTCGAAAAGATGTAATCGTAATAATATTATATTGTATGGTTTATTACAATACTACTTCAAACGCCACACTAGCTGCCCTTTCTAATCATTAAGCAAATTATGTCAACCTAGTTGAAATCATATAGATACCCTAAGTGGTATTAAGCTAAGTCTGATAACGTAAGTTCATTTGTGATTGAGATTTTCGGATTGTTTTAGCCCAAGATCTTCAGTTATTTTTAGGCCAGAACCTTGAAATAGTTAATTCTGCCATGAAAGCACAGGAAGTACGTGATACCTTGTGCTATGGTTCATCACATTGAAGGAAAGAGCTTAAAGAAACACAAGGATTGTTACCATGTACTTAATGCACATGTATCGCATACTATGTTTAGGACAATGTAATTCACCAAGTACTGTCGAACCTCCATATATCTAAATTACCCAAAATTGAATTTTTCTGCCCCTTGAAAATTCCTTTTAAAAATGTTTATATAAATCAAATACATTTTACATCTTGACTATTTATTATTAAATATTAGTATTGTTAACTTTTAAAATATTACTTCCCCGAAATATGTAATTTTCTTCTGGTCATAATAATTGAATAAATATTTATACAACAGTGTTTTCTATGTCCAGTTCCGGGCTTCCTCATGAAGGTAACATCCTTCTGCATTACCTCTCCAAGGGAACTTGTCAATTGTGGTGTGTGTACACCAAAGCAATCTGAAGATCAAGTGCTCCTTTATCTAATGGCCCTGCTGTACTTTGGCAGTTCAGCACAGGTTTAGTTTGCTGTGACGAACTTTCAAAGAGAAGGGTATTCAAAATGTCAAAATGAATGTCCCTTAATGTTGCAGAATAGTGAACTTGATCAAAGATATAGACAGGGGTTTGCAAGAAAAAATTGCTTTGTTCAATAGTTTTGATTTTGTTTTCATGGAGAGTATTGGTAGGTTGTTGTTTTAATCAATCATGGTCATACAATTATCAAAAATTGCAACCTCTGAGAAAACTTATGAATAAATACATATTCGCTTTTACAATGATCAAAATAGTAGGCACAAGTACTATATATGAACATTTTTTAACAGCTAACACTCCATTTTCCTTTGAGCATAAGCCTCTACAGCCCTATGGCTACCATGCTTTCCAATAAATTTATTCTGAAGAAAACAACTCCTTTAATTTCATAATGCTGAAGGAAGTAAGAAATGGTTTGAGGAAAGATTATGCAGAATTTAATAGGGGAAGAGGGGTCGCAGTTTATTATTACATAACGGACACTTACTTTTTTAAATTTTCTGCATTTACAAAAATAATCCCACGCAAAACAATGTTTCTGTAATTGCAGCACATAGTAATCTGTCAACTCCATGGCAGGATAATCTCTGAATTTTTTCTTCATATTTATGTATTAAATATTGAACTCTCCTCATTATGATACATTTTAATATGTAATATAAAAAATAAGAATTGTATTTACTCTAACATAAATTATTTTTACCGATTTTGAACACAAGGGTTGATGCAGGAATGATGTAATTTATCAGTCACGTGTCTTTAACCCCTGTTAACACGCAACCTTACAGATTTGTACACTTATACCAACCAGTATGTTAACATCCTTAGCAATGCAAATAAACAATCGTTGATTCATTGCATGACAAATGTTAATTAAGAAAAAACTGGCGATGATTTGCACAAATCAGATTCAAATTTTTCACAATAGAAGTAACTCATATTTGCTTTGGGGATAGTTATCATTAATTGCAAAATTTATAGTGCAATAAAAAATGTGAATTAGGTAAATTAACCTAATTTTCTTGGCATTCCACCAAATAAAACCTGTCTCCAAAACACCTATTTATGAACATTCTGAAGGTGTCACCACTGGAAGTCACCAACTTCCCCATCGAACATCATTTCTTCAAGTATCTTTACGAGAATTATTTGCATTCATCTTTTCTCAAATCACAGTATAAGAATATTGATTAAATAGATATATTGCAAGAAACACCCCACCATATCGTGGTAACGTGCAGAAACATCAGAATTATTCATTTAAGCATCAGTATTATCACTTGTTTACCATCGCAGTAATATCTTAAACTTTTCGTGAGATTTTATGGTGGCCGATAAAATGCTGAACATACAATGAAATGTTGCAATATTACTGCTGCCTCGTCCAAATTAAAAATATTGGCTCCACTACGCACTGCCTCAATTTGGCCTCTGCAGTAAAAACTCTCATAACGTTTTTAGGTAAGTTAATAGTTGTAATTAGGGAGGGTTCAATATAACAAGTGTAATACAGAGAGGAGGGGGTATCTAAAATAATCCACAAATGCATATGTAATTTATGGATGAACCCTTACTACTTTTTCTCTTCTACAATTCTGACTCAACCAAGCATGCAACACAACAACTTTTTGTAATGTAATGAAATGCAGCACAGATAGGTCAGTACTTACACTTTCACAAACCATTTTCTTTGAAGACAATTTCAATGAAAATCAATCAACTGAAATGAATTATCAGGTGAGCAGGTCACAAGTGGTACAAATTGTCATGTGTGGAACACAACACTTTTATTGACAAACATATTACTCTGAAGCTTGGGAGAAAAGGAAAAAGAGAAAGAAAAAAAAAGAGGAAAGAAACTTACAACATATATCTCATAACAAATATTTGAATGTCAGATAAGGCGCTTCATTAATGGCACATTGCAACATAAATATAACACAATACTGCTTCTTAACAGAAACGACTGCTTCTTAAACACTGTAAGTTCATGAAAGCCAGTTTGATATCTGAAAATTAGGTCAAATGAGTTTGAAAATATCAAAGATTTCCTTCCGAGATATATTTAAAGGAGCGTATATTTTTGCCAACTTGCAAAATTCCAGTCTTTGAAGACACAATCTGTTAAAAGTACTTTAAAAGCAGAACATTAGTCAACGGGTAAAGAAGTTAAGAAGTCTCTATCTTCTTAATAATAAAAGAAAAATCGAATAACAAACAAGCAATACTTATATCAAGCGTATCGAAGTAACCACAATTTTAAGCAGAGATTAAAACATGTGAAAATTAACATACTTTTTAAAAAGTAATTGAATTAGTAAACAGTTGTTTAGAATCATAAACAGAAAATGTACATAAATATAAACAGTCTTTCTTCCACAAGACAATATTGTTTCTTCTGAGAGAACTCCAATTTTGTCACAAAACAAACTGCAATATGATTTTCTTAAGGAGCTCAAATTTCTTACACGTGTTGACAAACACAACTCCCATATATCACTGTAAAAAACAAATAAGATAAGGAATTTCAACATCTAAACTTCAACTTTCAAAATAAACCCCACGATCATTAATCTTTGATTTGCAGAACAATGCAAAGATACACTTCCTCTGTAACTTGGAAATCAAATCAAAGAATTCAATACTAAGAAGTGTGTCTACATGTAGTACATACAGTAGTCATAATAATCTGAGGTAATTTAAGCTAATAGTAACTTGTATAAAGGATTACATGGAAATTATTAAATCTCAGATTACATGGAAAAATCATAATGGAATTTTCAACAACAGTGTATAACCATGTCAAATTTAATGAGCACATTCTATTAAAATTACAAATACATACACATCTAAATACAACGAAACATGTGACAACAATGTACAGAAATGATATTGTCACTGGCCGCTGCATTCGTAACCTTCGACCTTGGATTAGTAAGGCTTAGACTACCGTGACTTTATTGAATATAAATATTCAAATAAAAATAACCCATGTTGCTTGTAAATAGAAGTTTGTTGACAACCTACCTATGGTTCTGAAATGTAGCGAAGCTGTCTTTTCAGAGCCTCTGAGGCCAAATCAAGAGGTGTGAGCCCTTCTTTGTTCTTAATGTCAAGTTGAGCACCTTGTGTGGCCAATAGTCGAGCTTCTTCATCACGATTTTCTTCACAAGCTAAATGCCTACAAACAATCCACAACAAATCAATTAGGGCAACCAAGTAATAATTATACAAATGAATGGAATCAAGCATTTTGAGGGGGAGCATTAGCAATTGAACATAAATCATCATTTTTGAAAGATCAATAATATCTTATTAATATCCCATTTTGTACTGAAGTAACACCCACAATTATTCAAAAAGGAATTCGCTACTAATCTAATAGCCAAAGTATTGATTTATGATTTTTTTACATAAAATTCAGTGCTTACAGAGGAGTGTTTCCAGAAGAATCCTTTGCATCTATGTTCAGATGACTGCCATGCTGAAGCAACAACTTCACAATGGCAGTATTGCCTTTTGATGCAGCTCGATGCAGCGGAGTCGCACCTCTGTTATCCGCAATATTTATATCTGCATGGTTCAACAGCAACACCTCAGCAATCTTACAAGAAAAAAATGTACATAGAAAGGAACAAGTAGTTTGCATCATCAGCCTTTATAATCCTAATTTATGTTACACAAAAGGGGAATGATCAACTAACTTTCATTCTTCCTTGATATTTACAGTAAAAGACACAATACGTTCAGTGGTACCAGGTATTAATTGCCTATGTACAGAGTGAAAATTATTTGCAAGGAAAGCAATTTAATATTGCGTTACTTTTCCACAAAAAGAGACAATTATTTTTAAAACACATCCAAGTGTAACATATGATTAATGCAATATCTCCTAAAATCAACAACGTTTTACTATGTATATAAACATAAGGAAACATACTTTCTTGTATTATTTTTAATGGTTACGCAAAATAATAACAATAATAATAATAATAATAATAATAATAATAATAATAATAATAATAATAATAATAATAATAAAGTAAACCTTTGCAAAAACAAAGATACAAATACTCCAATACTTTTTAATTCATTAGTTGCAATGGAAAAGACACATGTACCATAGAACTCAAATGTATTTTTCTGTATTCTTTTGAAATGTTTAAAGCAGAAATTTGGAGCTGTTTTGGTCAAAATCTTTTTTTCAATGGAAAATTGACACAAGTTCACTCAAAATTACACATACATTACTCATATTCTGAAAAAATTGTACAGATTGTAACATTAATTAAAGATCTAGTTTTGAAGGGCACATTTAATTATGAAATCTCCATCTCCAATGAGGTAGAAATAAACAAGGGTCACCAAATGTTAAACTTTCCCAGTTTATAACATTTCAGAGGTTTTATTAAAATTGAATATGTAATATTACTACAAGAATATTTGGCACCCCTGAAGCAAAAAATGTGAGGAAACAATTTTGAGCAATTTTAGAGCACATTTGCAAAAATGTACTAGGGAAGTACCCCCCAAAATTGAAACTGCAAAAACAGCCAGATCAATTGGGGAATATCCATTTTGGTGAAAATCCTGTGTAAGGTTTAGGAACTAGCATTCTTCACAGATGAATGGATGATCAGGAAGATGTTTTGAAAAACCTTACACTTTTTTTGTAGCTCGCCAAAAAGGGTATTTGAGCAAAATCGTGATGTCGATTTTTTAACATCATTACAAAATTTTCTTTATTCTACGTCAGTGAAAAAGTAAAAATACACTCGCTTCGAAACCACTCAAATACTTCAGTACACCGCAGGTTTCAAGGTTTCTGTTTGTAAACAGTCAATTTTTTGAAAAATTCAAAAAGCAGATTATTTCTTTACTGAAATAACTAGGGCAAATATGTAAAACACAGACGAAAATACATCCATTCATCTTAAACTTTACTTACATCAGTACAAAGATGAAATTTTATAACCAATTCACAGTCACATTGTCAAATACAAGTATAAATAGTCAATTTAGAAAAATAGAAACTATGCTCAGAAATCAATAACAGTTTCTTGATTATTAAGAAATAATATTCTTCTCATTTAATAGCATATATGAGAAGCAAGTAGTGTAAGCCTCCTAAATTTAATGACACTCACTACAGCTCTTTAAAGAAAAACTACACTAAATAAGAATCCATACTCAAAAACATGGTGAATACCTCTTTCCATCCTTTTGATGAAGCATACTGTAATGATGAATGACCTCCATCATTCACCGCATTTACATTTGCACCATGTCCAATCAATAACCTGACTATCTTCTCTCTTCCTGCAGAAGATGCCAAAATCAAAGGTGTCATGTCAGTCTATAACAGAACAACAAAAAAAGCCTCAAAGTAATAATTTAAAACAAAAAATCATGTTGCAAGAGCATCAAAGAAAATACTGACTTAGCCTTTACCACAAGATGGTTTTTAATTACAATAAATTACGATTCCGTAATATTTTGACACTCAAAAACCTCATGAATTTAAATAAATAATAATAATGTATTTGTTATGTAATGCACACGCCATGTATGGCAAATCCATGTAGTATAAGATTACTTAACTTTAAGTTAGTATTTAATACAATACCCCAGAAAAGGCTACATAAAACTAGCCTAAAATAGAAGGTTACAAAAGGACAGGTAAAAAAACGATTGTGACATAATAATAACTAAAATTCCACCATTTGTAAACATTAAAAAATAATTGAATTTACTGCGGAGAATGAACTATGGTGTAAAAACAATAAAAACAAAGTTTTATTTGAATATACAGTTGATTCATAAAGGATAATTTTATCACACTAATTATTTAAGTCACTGTCAAAACCCCTTATAACATCTATTTAAACATATGACATTTCCATATTTCAGTTTAAACAAAACTTTTAATCAAGAGCACAACATACATTTTTGAAATAATTAATATGAAAGGTTGCTGATGTTTTTTTGAAAACATCGTCAGTTATCGTTTAATATTAGAATGCCTATAAACACTATCAGTCTAACAACACAACCAACTCGATACAATACATACATCATCTCGTGGATCAACAGGAGAGCCGTGATCAAGTAAATATTTCACTATTTCTTCGTGACCTCCCAAAGAAGACCAGTGAATCAGCATTCGACAATTCTGCAAAACAAGCTTTTCTAATAAGATTTCATCTCGTCTTTCTTTTACATATTCAAGAAAACTTATTGTGTAAACAAGTTCAAGTTACATCATCAACTGCTGTCAATCGTTTATTATCCTCCAATAACTTCAGTTTCAATATCTCAAAATCGCCTTCATATGCGGACTCAAACACAGTCTTGGTAGCCATAATATTAAGAAACTATTTTCCTCCCCCAAACGCACGATTTCCTCTACAAAGAATTTACCTAGCACAACCGATTTCTGACACTATTTTAATGCCTCTTGACTACGCACCAATACTTCGTTCTTTAGTGTCAAGCGAACATGTCGACTTGCACAAACTCAAATTTCGACGCCATTGCAAATACAATACAACCAACAAACCAATTTCACACATTTGAATTGTCTTTGCCACTTCAAATTATTGAGCGACTGCAAATTGTAAAACATATCTTAAAATCCCTTTATTTAGATCTTTTAAAAGAATTTCAACAGTTTCTATGAGTACATTATTGAAAAATTCAAGATAATATTTCAACATTATATCTCATTTCCTGACGGAAAGTTAGGAGTCCCTGTTATAACAATTGTTGAGAAATTAGGTGTACTAGCCGGGAAATTTGAACAGGAGGACTTGGGGGGAGGGGGGAATACATTGCTCCACGAGAAAGAAGGCTCGAAAATGAATCGATTGATTAACTGATTAGTGAATTCGGCCGCGCCACCTTCTAAGGTTGTTAGTCCCGTAAGTAAAGGGCATATTTTTATCACAGGAAGTGACAATTACCTTCTTTCATTGGATGGCGAGTCCAGTGCCGACCTACTCGTCGGCTTGTCAATTTTCCCAATCTGTTATCTTTCACCAGAGAGCATCGCCCGAACCGCGACAAATTCTGTTATTTTTATAAGCTCTCAATAGGTCTCCCGCATGCGTGATGGTGTAGTGCATGTAAGTGTAAGGGATGAGTATAGAACAAGAAAGGAAGGATAGACCCCGCTCGGTCCTCGGCCCGTTTGTTAGGGTACTGCACCGGCATTCGGCTTGTGTTGTTCAGAGATACCTCCCATCAGAGCAGTCGGCCTCTAGAATTCTCCCCCAGACCACTGCTTAATTCGACCTAGCTGGCTAAAAAAATTCTGTCACGCCAGGACTCGAACCCTTGGACCTCCTGGTCTCTCCAGTGGCAACAATTGACGCCCTGAGCCACCTAATCCAGTGAAGGCATTCGAGCATTTAAATTGAACTTCCTTTTCTATCCTCTGAAAACGTTTTAGACTAAAAAAAGCCATCATATACATTAAGTAATCACCTTTCATGACAAAAAATATCAATCATGAATGTGATGTTTCATCCCATGCATCCTTTGCCATTTTACTTACTATACTCATGTACTGGCCATCTATGTATCTACACAACTCATTGTACAGTACTACAGATATATTCCCTATCCTCTTATTTGATCATTGTTTTCCATACTTATTATTAGATAGAACTGTGAGATAATTCATTTAATTTTTTCACTTAGAATGTGGTTTCTCTTTTTGCAATGTTTGATTTTGATTACATGACATGTTTAAACAATCCATTGGTTTCTTCACCCTCATTTCCTCTTTTCTGATACTCTTACTCTTTGCCCTTTGTCTTGAATTCAAATATCAAGTGCCTTATTTACTATTTTTTTATATTTAGAATATTTTATAAATGCTTTGGTTGTTATCTAAGAAAACAGCATCTATGTTATTTTATACCACTTACATAATACAGAGAAAGTATTGCAATGCTGTGGCAAAAAATGACTATTTTTCACCACAAAAACTCATATCGTGGGGCACTAATACTGAAAAAGTGTATAATTATGGTTTCGATACATAGTAAAGTAATTAATTTCACCCATTCAGTAGTGAGAATCCATGATTTGTGGGACCTTGATACTCAGAAACTGGTTGACAGCAAAACAGTCTGTCCGGGCAAACACCTTCCTGCACAACTGCTGCAGATCTGTTGAGAGCCGATCCACATGTGGCTGACTGTCCATCAATCCTACAGTCTGGATCTCACCCTTGCAATTTCCATCTTTTCTTATACCTCAAGCAATTTCTGTCCAGTCAGCATGAAGTTTGTCTCTCATTGAGTTCCAGGTAGCTACCAAACACTGGTTCCTACCCCAGGTGGTAGATTTCTATGAAACGGGGCTACAAATGTTGATCATGCAGTATGACAAATGTCTCAGTTCTAGTGGTGATTATGAGGAACAATATTGCAACATGTGCTGTAATGCTACAATAAGGCTTTTTTAATGTTTTTCTTTATGTTAACAACCTAGCGAAAAGTACTTTCGGAATGCAGATCATAAATCCCCTGATCAATCTGGCCACATACATTGCCCAGTGAATTTAAAATTGTACTTTAATTTTTAGGGATACTTTAAATAAAACCCCAGAACATTTCCAATTTTTTTTAAAAATTAGAACCAAAATTGTCTTCAATTTTTTTGTTCAAATAGTACAAAGTCGCTTCAAATGTGACATTGATGCAATTTTCATTACACCCTTTCTATTTTTGAAAATTGCTAGAAATAAAAAGGTATTGGATCCACTCTTACAACAGCAGTTTATCATACTTATAGATATTTTTCGTAATAAAACAATTCTTCAAAAAATGTCATGTACTTTTTTCTCCAAAGTATGCTTAGTTTTTGTGTAATTTTGGATGAACTCGTGACAATTAAAAGAAAAGTAGGTATAAAATATTTTCTCAAAAGTTAGTTACACTGTAATAGGCATGTGTCATTCATAACTTCTCTCATGATACTCACATCACAATTTCCTCATAGTAATTGTAAATTACATTCACGCATGTACTGCATGCCTGGTGGTTTACACCACATTGCTTACTGTGAGCCACAAGTATACGTGAAGACAAACCATTGGCTGTAAAAGGAGGGTGGAGGGTATCAGTATGGGGCATATGCTTCACAATTTCCTTCTTCACAACCAATCCCATTACATATTGCAAGCCATGAAAGGCTCGTATGCACTTCATAATACACTCTTGTATTCATTATACGGCCACTTCACAATTATTGTCAATGTCAAAATTCTTTTTTTACTCTAGCAGCAAATACCAACAGAACATAGTCAATGACTATTTTATTGGTTGATGTCATATTTTTGCTTTTCAAGTTAGAACAAAGCACATTTATATATTACAGTTGTAATTCATGGGTATAACTGCTATGTGGACAAGTCCCCCATCCCCATATTTCTTTGTACATGATATATTTTAAAGATGACTCTCTGGTAATGATCTGAACTATAACTATGGAATACCCCCCCCCCCCAATAACTTATTACTAATTAATTATACCCAATTGAATGCATGCTCAGGCTTTGCTGGCAGGGAGATGGGAGTGACAGGATCAATAGTTATTTTCTAGTATATTTTTCTTGAAGTACATTATTGATTTCATGAAGATATGTGACATAACCTGACCTATTTTAATCTATCATGAGCTCCATGTTAATTTCAGTATATCAACAAAAGAATTACTGTAGCTTTAACAAAAATTCCAAGAAGGTTCACAGTTCTTTTTATGTTCATCCCAATTTTATATGGTTTTGTGTGATTTTTTTTTTAAGGATACCTCTTCATGGAATTTTTATACACCTTATTTATCATCATTGTCATCATCATCATTAACGCCGTAGCAAGGGACTGGCAAGATGGGCGGCTGCCAGGGGGGCACACATGACCTCCATTACTGTGTTGTTTCTCTTCCTAGAAAATAAATCATGGGCATGCAAAATTCAAATCTGGCCAGGGGCGCTCATGACCGTCACTAAGACTCCGATCATCATCAATTTGGTTTACAAACACCTTGGTAGTAAAGCAGTTCTCCTTCATGAGGTGAAGTGTTCCTGCTAGTGCCATCTTCTTGTTTTGCCTCTATCCCTCTTGCCATTCGATCTAAAGTTTAATGCCATCCATGGTAGATGTCATTTAACCATTCCTTTCACATTTTCTTTGTTAAGTTTTGATTTCTCCTGGTGTTTCCTTCTTTTCAGTTCTTTCCTAATAATTTTTTTTCAAATTTTGTCTCTTCTAGTTATTCCTAACACTGCCCATAGAAACTACGTCTGAGCAACATCTTTGCTTCTGGTTTCCTTTAAGCTCATTATCCACATTTTTGAACCATACTTTTAGCATTGGTTTTGATGTAATATTACTGATTCTCATCAGTTTCTTTTCTCGTAGGTCCAAAATAATATGTCTCTATCATTCCATTGTTGCTATTATATTTTTGTATTTTTTCTTCCATATCCTTCTGGCTCAATCCAATTGAATTTCGAAGATATTTAAAAGTGGGAACATGTTCAATTATTGAATTTTCTATTACTATTTTGGCTCTAAGATGTTCTTTGGCATAGAAGGTTGTGTTTTACTTTTCTGGCTTAATATTTTTATTTGATATTCGTTGCTTTTTTGCTTAACTCAAAAGGTTGCTTTCTGTAGTGTCTTCCGAGTCTGTTATTACAACTTGGTCATTTGCGAATAATACTTTCACTAATTTCTGGTTCTTTGTTATCTTTATTCTTTCCTGAGTTTTCTGTTTCCATTTTGTCAAATTATTTACATAAATGTTAAAAAGTAGTGGTGACAGTGTGCATCTTTGTCTTAGATATTTGTTGATCTTCATCTGCTGTGTTGTGTCTGGATCATTTTTAATAACTATTATGGAATCTTCAAATATTCTCTGTATTTTTGATTGTCATAGGCTGGATCATTTTTAATAAATATTATGGAATTTTCAAACATTCTCTGTATTTCAGATTGTCATAGGCTTTTTTGTAATCAAGTAACAGTAGATATGTTGCTAAGTTTTGTTCTTTCCTTTTTATCTATAATCTGTTGGAGTGTGAATATTGTATCTATTGTACTTTTCCCCTTACGAAATATTCATTGTTCTTCCCTGATTATTTTTTTTTCAATTTTGATTAGCCTCTGTCTTATTAAGTTTGCAAATATTTTTTAAGTCATTAGTGTCACTGGTCATCTTATTTATGACTAAAGTATTATTACTGTTAGTCAAAAAAATTCAATATATTAATTACTATTTCATCCATTTTCGAAACAAGCTTTGGTGGAAAAAATCAAACACTTTGGATGACTAAAAGCACCTTCTGCAATCATTTAGGTTGTTGAAACAAAAAGGAGATCGTTCAACAGAAATTTATATTTGATGTTTATGATAAATACAAGTGGTTAGGTGGTTACAATGAAAGCTATCACCAAATTTAATATGAGCAAGGAAGGGACAGCAGATTTCATTTCCAAATAAGTGTTCTTATATACAATAAAACATCACTTATACTTTTGTCAGGGGACTGAAGGTTAAAAACTGTATAAGTGAGAAAAATGCATACCTGAAATTGAATATTATGAGCAAAACAAAAACTTAATGTTTTATTTAACATTGGCTCACTGCACTCTTGGACCTGCTTTCAGGAATTGCTGCCAACATTACTTTTGATTTATTTAGTCAAAGAACAGTAAAAACTGTATGTGACATAAGGAAAAGATATTTGCACACGTTTTCTTGAGTTTCAGAAACTCCTCCCAACATTTTAACAACAAAGAGTTAAACGATGAATAAAAATTTCAAACAAAGCAAAGTTAGCAACTTTTGGAAACTAGACATTTTTGCTCGTGAGTTACAGAAAACTTATTTTCATCTGCAAACAAACAGCAGTTTTTTTTTATTTATTGCAAACAAAATGGTAAAACATCCCTGGCTCTACTCTTACCGCTGCTAGGCAGAGGCATATCTACAGTATGGCAGATATGGCATGTGCCATGGGCACCACTCACAAAGGGTGCTATTTGTAGTATATTCGCTAAAACAAATAACAACCACCCTAATTTGAAGTATCCTTACAGGGGGCCAAATTCTATGCATGACATGGGTGCCTGAATACCTAGTTACACCTCTGCAAAAGGTGAGCTCAATAAAACATGTCCATAGTAATCCTACATTTATGTCCAGAAGCAAAACACATTCAGCATTTGCTCAATGGATTAAGGAAAATGGGCAAAAATCTGGTTGAGCATGGGAGCTGAAGTACCCTTCTTTTTATCGATCATTGACCCGGAAGACCAAGAATATAACTTACTTAGAAGATACATCGGCCAGACATAGGCACGTCTGATGGAAAACATAGCACTGATATTCTCACTTTATGCAGTCATTCCTTTAGGCTTGTTTCACACCAACATGCCTGCACACCATCGATTAACTGTACCTTAATGCGTATTCTAGATTAACACTGTATTTTATGTGTAACTACACACTAGCGCTCTTGATTATGTGCATTGAACGCTAGTAAACACACATCTTGACTTGTCTTGTAAGTTGAGCATTTTGCTTGAGCTATGGGCACCATGCACTTTGCCAAGACCACTCGTGTTCCATTTCACATAAGAATTCATTTGTTAATCTACAATGCATATTGAGTGACTATTGTGCACAGTTATCGTCGCACATCGATGCAGCTAATGTCATAAGCATTAGGTGACGTGCGTCAATGCAATGCTCATGTGACGCAAGCCTAAATGTCATTATAGATCTTTGAGACTTCAAAGTTCCAATATTTTCTTTAAATGAACCAAATTTCTATAGCGCAATGTTGGTGAACATTATGCAAATTTTCACTAGATGACACTAGTGTCCCCTTTTTTTCCAGCCTGTAGTTTTGACCAAAATTTTGAAATGAAAGTTGAAATGCCTTTCTTAATGACCAAATTAGTCAACTTGAACACTGAATTTAACATAAAAATTCCTTGAGCCTCTCTGTGATATCATAAATGTTCTCATTTATTGGTCACATGTATGTCGTAGTTATCATTTGGAGTTTGTACCATAGAACAAGACTATGCTTCCATGTTTATACCGTATAAACAGAGTTTATATGGTGATATGGAGTTTATATGAATATATAAATGAAGTTTCACTGTACTACTTAAAGAAAAAAGTAACCGATGTGGGATTGGAAATGTTTTGAGAAAAAATCAGAATGTAAAATATAAATTTAAGTGCAGTGCGTTTCTGAAATGTATAAATCCATTATCTTCTGCATTTGCCAGCCACTCACCCACACACAGTCTGTATTTTGTGAAGTACCAACTGTTGAGGTTGTGAGCTGCCACAGCTAAATAGTTCCAATTGTGGCACTCGGAAACATGGGCTTTTTCCCGTAATACCAGATACAAACCATTGTTTTTTCATGCTTCAAAACAAGAACTGTCCTTCTTGATACTTCCAGCACCAGACAACCTCTCTACCTTTCACCAAGTGAAATCACTGGACAGTACATGTTGTGCCCTTCTCAATAAACTTCATATACTTCAGGAAAGTGTTTAATTTCATTGATGGTTTTTACCTTATGGTTCTATATTTTCAGCTTTGATATTGATTTCAATTGATTTAAGGTATTTGTTTAAGTTGTCAAAGTGAAAATGGAAAGAACAGGACAAATTATTTTTGAACATTATGATTTTAATTTTATGCTATTTACACAACCATTATCTGTCTCACAATTACTTCAGGAAACAAATAGGCCCTAATAGTACTAAAATTACAGCAGTGTAAACAAATTTCCTTCAGAAAATTCAGATATTTCATTTTTTTTAAACCTGCATTCTCTTTTGATATGATAAGATAAAAGATATGACAATATAAAAGAAATAACTGGTTGGATTTTACATAAAAAGAACAAAATTTTATTGATACCTATGAAATATTTTTTTTGTCACCAGACAGTTCATGTACTATGCTGGTGCTAAAGATATAGAGAAATGTATAAATAAAAGTAAAATAGAATTTTAAAATTTCTTGCATTGTGGTAATCCTTACTTCTTCCAACTTATATAATTTGTATGTAAAGAGATACTTTGTACCTTCTCTCATAGATTCAACTTGAATATTTCTATTAATTTACAACAAAAAAATTAAAACCAAACTCTCAACTCCTTTAGCACCACCTACATTTGCAAATTCACACAATATAATACACATTCATGAAAAGTCCATCACTTTCACACACTCACACAGCATGTGATCAAGTTATATTTGAATTCCTGAATAATAGCTGCCAAAAGCAACAAAGATTTGGTCGTTGCATAAAACATTGCTATAACTTTAAGTCCATTACAAATTTTTTTAAATAGAATTCTTCTGAAATACCACTTATTTACCATTATGATTGTTCATATTTTTAGGTTTAAAGCTAATCAATTTTTCAATTAATAACATATTGCTATTATTTTCAAGAAATAAACTCTCCCTTAGTTTCTGCAGATGTGGCCTCATACATTTTGTAAAACAAACTGTAACATTCTCCTCTGCTAACTACATCATCAAAGAATAGTCATTTAAAACTTTAAGAAATAACAATTTTACACGTTATAATACTGAATTTTTCTATGTGAAATATTAAAAACATAAATCATCATAGTATCATATCTGTATATCATAATTATTATTATTATTATTTTTTTTTTTTTCTTCTTTCCCAACATGACCATTCTCAGAATACTTACAACTCTAAAGCTAATATTCGGTAGGAATAAAAGAAAACATGTCAGAGTATAATTTGAAAGTGAAACATTGTCCCAATTAGAAAATGACATGTAAAAAATAAAGGATGAAACCTAATTAAATACTCTCGCACAAAAACCCTTGTTTCAACACCTCAATACCCAAATAACACTAGTGCTACAGAAATATTTACATTCTCTATCATACATTATTTATTTGCCTCATTATTAATATAAAGAGAGCTTGGCATCTGCTAACAGTGGATTAATCCACTTTCTCACACTCATTTACAAAAATGATAATTTTCTTTACAATTATTCCTTAGTAAATAGATAAAAAAGATGTTGATTTGATCACAATAAAATGAACTGTCTACATTAGCAATCCAATCAATGGTCCCGATTTAACAGTTTCTTTTCAAAGCATGTTCTGCAATGAAATGTTGGTTTCAGTCTACTTGTAATATGCTTTTAATTTGGCAAGTTATTTGAGACACAAGAGAAAAATTGATAGGCATCCTTTCTGAATATCAAAACAAACCTGATTTTCTGATGTAGATACACAAATATATTGTTCTAAATGTATGTTATAAGTATTTAATTGAAGTGATATTACAAGTAAAAATGAAAATTTCAGACAATTAGATTTTTGTAATATGTAAATGTTGAATACCAGAAAGCAATTAACAAAAGGGAAATGACTGAATGAAAATGAAGAAAGGACAAATAAATATACAACCACACATCAAGTTTCAAAATATAAAAACAGATACAGTGAATAATATAAAAATTCACGTTTCAATAGGCATTCACAAGATACCTTTTCAAATCTCAACAAGTATAAAACATATATGTACTCATGTGCAAATAAACATCAACTTTCAAATTAAAAGAAGTTCTGAAACTTTAGACAGAAATAACCAAATTCTTCTCTTTTCTATTCAGCACCTCTTGCAGTTGAGCCTACATCATCCATTTGACTCTTAAACACTTATCGACCACTGAGATGTTGTAGAAACTCCCATGATTGTATGTTAAAACCACAGCCATAAGCACCTTCTCAAGAATGAAGATCACTGTAATCTGATAAAACAATCAAATTTTAGAATAGAGATATATTATATATATAAAAATGTTATATTGTATGTATTTACTCTATATACAGTCAGGTGATACAGCATATCCATACACATATCCATTAGCCATTCATGCAAGCCCCCAAGGATGCTGATTATTTCGGCTAAGTTAAAATGTTATCACGTTCACCTACACACCTCTCCATTTCAAACACACACACATTTTCTTGACTACAATTCTTTACCCATTTCATTCTGAACTGTTCAGATTGACATTCACAACTTACAAGGCTACCTTACAATTTTTAAACTCATTAAGATCTTTAGGCAACGAATTCACATGAATGTAAAATGTATGGTTTCTCGCAGTCAATGAGAAAGATCAAAATATATAAAAATAGATATAATTATAATATATAATATTATACGTATAATACTAATAATAATACTAATACTACTACTACTAATAATAATAATAATACTAATACTAATAATAACAACAACAATAACGAGTGATAAAAATAAACCTTTTTTATTTTAGTCCCCAACAATAACAGAAAGAGTATTTAAATTTACAATATAATATGTAAAATAAAGTGATAACCATTTGTAATTACTTTCTAATACAATTTTTAAAAAAAGTTTGATACCTGGCACAAGGCTGCAATGCTTAAAGCCATCCTTAACTATCAAGTTGGTCTGCATGATCTAGTGAATCCAAAGTGTCATTGGAACCAGAATGTGTCAGGTCACTGAGTTCATCCAAGTGTTTCTGTCGTTTTCTCACATTCCAGTGGAGACATTCAGCTAGAGAGTCAAACCAATCTGATATCTGGTCTTGAGCACATATGGAAGGTACTGGGTACACTGAGGTGGTGACTCGCAAGCTGTAACAAGAGACCACAAAAAAACTATAATTGGGGAATTACAACAGGTCAACAATTTTAGTACCTTGCAACATGAGACAAATTCTCCTTTTTAGCTGCTTCTTGAATAGCATGTTAAATGAACTGAAGAATATTTGCAAATTTAATCACAGAGTAAATTTTAAAAATAGGTGAAATGAAATTCAGTAGAACAAAAATCATTTAAATTATTTGATATCAATTATTCCCTTCATTTTCTTTTGTCCAATATTTTTGTAATTCTAACAAACAAGTATTAAATATAAGTAACTAAAATACCTTTCCCCCCTTGATATTCATGATGACATGACACCACAGTAGCATCAGGGAGAAAATGTGCATGTAGAAAGTAATAGTTATAAAACAAATTCAGTAAATTAAAGACAGTTAAGTATAGCTAATGGAATAGCATCATAAATTATACAACTCTTCCAAGGAAAAACAGAAGGAGAAAGATCTTCAAATTCAGATTTTTAATTGTGAATAAATATTTTTGTATGAAAGAGGGGAAACTCTTGCACTTGGCAATTGGTTATTAACATATAAATATACAATACCATCACTAGTAGGTTAAGCAGTCTACCTTTTCTTCAAATGACTGACGAGCTAACATTGAATTGTTTTACTAAAAAACGAAGTTAAAAATTTTCTGCACATTTCAACATGAAATTGGTAAGCAATTCATCCCTGACTGATGAATACATATATGAATGTATGTATATGAAAATATTTTGAATTTTACACAATATTTTTAAATTTTACAAAGTCATTAATTAAAAAATGACACACTTGAAAAAAGCATTTCAAAGAAAAGTCTATTTAATGTTAATTTTTCCTTCTTTCATAATTCTTTGAACCAGTATTTTCATCTCTCAATGGAACTGCTGATTAAGATTAACTATTAAAACATTTCAATTAAAATATGAAAAGAAAATAATAAAAAATAAAATAATATAATAATTGCTAATTCAATTTTCTGGAATATTAAAAGGTGAAGAACAAAACATCACCTCAGACAAGAACTTCATTAGAATTAACACTTTACAAAATCAATGCAGAAATGAGTTTTTCTGCATGCCCAGATAAGAGTAATTATCAAAACTGAACAAAATAGATGTATTCTATTTAAGTTACATGCCTGTTAAGCAAGTGAAACAACACAAAATAATATTGGGTTAGATCACAATTCCAAAACCAATAATCATTCATATTAATTCAATATTGCAACTCTATATTAGTGTATGTACATTACATGCAATACCACCTTTGCAGTCGCAATCATTTTTCCCCCTCATGCATTTCATGCTCCAAAATTAAAATTAAGACCAAAACAATATGATTCAAACATGCCAATATACATAAGTGTCATGAAAGCCTGCTACTCAGCATAAGAGAATCACTCTCACAGTATCTAAATGCTGAAAATACTTTCAAGCAAATTTCATGCCATAGTACATCACTTTAAAATCTAGGCCCTCATATCCACTCTTATTCACATTTTTTGATGAACCCTAAAATTCTCAAGCTTTCAGAGAAAGAAAAGAAATAGGAAAATAGAAAGAAAAAGAAAAAAGGCTTATGGGAGGAAAACGTCTCTGTCTCCAGCCACCATACCATCATTGCCCTTTCATACACCATACCCCTTCAAAATCATTTTTCCCTATCACAAAAAGTACCTCCATCCGACTAGAAGAGTAACTGAACACTGGTGAAGCAAGGCAATAAATTATGTCAAATAAACGAAGGTAATTTTCGCTTACTTAAAGCACCTGAATTTTGAAGTTCCAGCCACAACATTGTTTTCTTGATAAATTCAGAAAATAAACACAAAATGCATTAATTGATTCTAAGTACAGGTTCCAAAACTGAGATTTCTCTTAGAATTGAATAACTTAGTAATGTGCACAACAATAATCAATGGAAATGGCAATTTCATAACGAAAATACTCAGTCACAGATTTCTTTAAGTTTTTTCATTAGTACTACTACAGCAAAATATGAATATTTTTAAATGTCACAAGCAACTACAGAAAAGCAATCTGAATTAAATAATGTTTACATTATAATTATAAAATAATAATTTAGTACATTAGGGTTTTGAAATTTCACATTCATTTCTACTCTATGGTTGATTTTGGTGTATTCTTTCTTAAAATGGTTTTGGATTGACAATTGATTTGCGTTTCATGAAATTGAAATAGGATTGTACAGCAGCAAAAAGAATCTACAACCATTCAGATGTCATCACAGACATTTGCCTCTATTTTATGAAAGTTCCCTGCTCCAGGGCAGTGTCAGTTGTAGGATTTGTTATCTCAGCTCCTAAACCCCTTTTGCACATTAAAATGCACAGACCTATCTCCAACACGCATCTCTTGCTGATTGCGGCCATCAAAGGACACCCATGATGTACTTCTTGCATCACTGTTCAGCAATATCTGCAAACAAGTGTACACCCTTCTGTCAATCTGGAGCAGCAAATCCATTTGTGAAAGCCCACCAAAAATCAGAACTGGCTGGATCAGCAGTACACGGCAATTTGTCATCAACAACTCATCTAGACAACTTGGGAAAAAAAGTAAGAAAGGCAATATCAAAACAAAGAAATTATTTCATCCACAAGAAGAACAAACAAAGCTAGATCCTAAAAGAAGTTACAACATTCTACGATAAACTATCAAAAAGTTGGAATCTATTCCAAACCTTACTTTTTAAATGACAAAAATAACACATACTTCAGAACTTGAGATATCTCAACACCTCAACTAAACTTACAACTCAACTATCTTTACAACTCAATTAAACAATGAGTTTACTATATCCAGAGGAAGCAAACATAATGGACAAATATTCTTTATTGCAGAAACAACTCCTTAGATTCCTACTTACTCAAAAGTCTCAACTTAACTTTTTTCCTTCTTCTTTCTGTCTTTGTTTTTTTCTTTTCTTTTTTTTTCTTCTTTTTTTCCCTTCAAATATTTTGAACTAAAACTATAGCATTTTTCCATACAAAAAGCAACCACAAGGGCAGGTACAATCAAAAGTCATCTAAGATGTAAACTCATTTGAATAAAATAGGGCCAAATGTAAGAAAAAGATTTAATTGTAAAACACTTTGTATATCATATTCATTTAGAATTACATATAAAAAATTATAATATTACAATTAGTACAAAAATTATTCCTGTTAAAGACTATAATAGCAGAAATTTTGTGTATTTGTAATACAAAACACACAGAATATATGACGGACATTTCAAAACACTATGATTGCTACAATCTTCTTTAGGGTTAGAGTTCCTTGAGATTCCTTTCATATTTTGGGATTCTCACTGATCAGGTAGGTCGGCTGTACATTTAGATCTAGCCGGAGTTTCTCAACATGGTTTTGACCACGATTGTGATATAAACCATGCCTTGTATGATTAAAATGTCACCATGGTTATAAATGAATGTTAATATCAAGTGATGCTAACGCGGCTTGATGAAGTCACTTGATATTATAAACAAGTTTCTTTAAATTAAAGTTAGAAATGTAAATGAATGGTTTTACAGTTTAATTCACCTTTACGATTACATTAAACATAATTACCACTTTCGGAGACAATAATAAATACACACATCTAGTGGTGAACGAAGTTCATCCAATTTTAATAATTTATGATCTATCTACCTTTCAGAAAAGTACCCAAAATGAAAATACTTGTGTATTGAAACATTGAACAATTGAAGTTAGGAAGTAATTTTAGAATGTGCCTTTTAACAGAATTTGTTATTATTATGCAAATAATTTTATAATTTTGTTTTAATACATTGTTTATGGTGTAAGTGATGTTGGTGAGGGTGGTGTTGGTGAGGGTGGTGGTGGTGGTGAGGGTGGTGTTGGTGGTAGTGGAGTTGGTGAGGGTGGTGTTGGTGTTGGTGGTGGTGGTGGTGGTGTTGGCGGTGGTGTTGGTGGCGGCGGTGGTGTTGGTGGCGGCGGTGGTGTTGGTGGCGGCGGTGGTGTTTTGGTGGGCGGCGGCGCGTGGTGGTGTTGGTGGGCGGCGGTGGTGTGTGGGTTGGCGGCGCGTGGTGTTGGCTGGCGGCGGCCGGCTGGTGGGTGTGCGGCGCGGATGTGGGGCGGCGTGTGTGTTGCTGGCGGCGCAGCGGGGTGTGTTGGGTTTGGCGGCGGCGCGGCGTGCGTGTTTGTGTTGTTGGCGGCGGCAGTGGTGTAGTTTGGCTTGTGCGGGCGGCGGCTGGTGTGTTGTTGTGCGGCGGCGGGGGGGTGGTCGGCGGCGTGGTGTTGTTTGTTGTTTGGCTGGCGGCGGGACGGCGGTGGTGTTGGTTGTTGCTGGCGGCCGGCAAAAGTGGGGGTTCGTTGTTGTTGGCGGCGGTCCGGTGGGCGCGGGTTTGTTGTTGGCGGAGCCGGCGGTGGTTTGGGGGTTGTTGTTGTTGTTGGCGGCGGCGTTGTGTTGTTGTATTGTTGGCGGCGGCGTTGTTGGTGTTTGTTGTTGTTTGCGGCGGCGTGTGGTCGTTTGTTGTTGTTGGCGGCGGCGGTGTGTTGTTGTTGTTGGCGGCGGCGGTGTGTGTTGTTGCGCTGTTGTTTGGTTGCGGCGGCGGTGTTGTTTGTTGTTTGTTGGCGGCGGCGGTGTGTTGTTGTTGTTGGCGGCGGGGTGGTTTGTTGTTGTTGGTTCGGCGGCGGTGTGTTGGTTGTGCCGGGGCTGTTGTTGTTGTGGCGGCGGCGGTGTTGCGTGTTGTTGTTGTTGGCGGCGGCGGTGTGGTTGTTGTGTTGGCGGGGCTGTTGTTTGGTGTTTGTGCGGGTCGGCGTGTGTTTTGTTGTTGTGGGCGGCGGCGGTGTTGCTTTGTTTGGCGTTGCTGGTCGGGCGGGTTCGTTGACGTGTGTGGTTGTGTGTTGTATCTCGCGCGGTGCGTGGGCGGTTCGTCTTGTGTGGTGTGGTGTTGGCGGGGTGGTGTTTGGCTGGTGTGTTGTGCGGTGGTGTGGTGTTGTGGCGGTGGTGGTTGTGTTGGCGGTGTTTTGGTGTTTGGCGGGTGGTGTTGTGTGGCGGTGGTGTGGTGTGTTGGCGGTGGTGTTGGTGTTGGCGTGGTGTTTGGTTGTTGGGCGGGTGGTTTGGTTGGTTTGGCGGTGGTTGGTTGTTGTTGGCGGTGGTGGTGGTGTTGGCGGTGGTGTTGGTTGTTGGCGGTGGTGGTGTGTTGCTGGTGTGGCTGTGGCGTGTTGGCGGTGTTGGCGTGGTGTGTGGTGTTGGGGTGGTCGTTGGCTTGTTGGGGTGGCGTTGTTGTGCGGTGTTGGTGGTTGTGTGCGTGTGGCGGTTGTGTTGGCGTTGGCGGTGGTGATGTGGCGTTGTGGGTTGTTGGTTTGGCGGTGGCGTTGGGTTGGTTGGCGGTGGCGTTTGCTTGGCGTGGTTGGCGGTGGTGCGTTGTTGGCGTTGGCGGTGGTTGCGTTGGTGTGTTGGGTTTGGCGGTTGTGCGTTGGTGTGTTTTGGCGGGCGTGGTTGTTGCGTGTGTTTGGTTGCGGTGTGTCGGTGGGTTGGCGTTGCGTGTGTTGGCGGTGGTGTTCGGGTGTTGTGTGGCGGTGGTCGGTTGGTTGTGTTGGTCGGTGGCGGTTGTTGTGTGTTGGCGGTGTTGTTCGTTGTTGTGTTGGCGTGCGTTTGTTGTTGGCGGTGGTGTTTGTTTGTTGGCGGTGTGTCGTTGTTGTTGGCGGTGTTCGTTTGTTGCGTGGTTGTTTGGCGGTGGGTTGTTGTTGGGTGGGTTGTTGTTTGGCGCGTGGGTTGTTTTGCGGTCGTTGTTGTTGGCGGGGCGTTGTTGTTGCTGGTGGTTTGTTGGCGGTGGGTTTGTTTGGCGTGGTTGTTGTTGGCGGTGCGTGTTGTTGGTGTGTTGCTTGGGGCGTGTTGTTGTGTGGGTTGTTTTGCGGTGCTTTGTTGTTGGCGTGGTGTGCGTTGTTGTTTGGCGTGTGGTTGTTTGTTGCGATGGTTTCGTGTTGGGGTGGTTTGTTGCGGTGGGTGTTTGGGTTGTTTGGCGTGTGTTGCTTGTTGTTGGCGGTGGTGTTGTTGTTGGCGGTGGTGTGTTGTTGTTGCGGTGGGGTTGTTTGTTGGGCGGTGGTTGTTGTTGTTGCTTTGGCGGGTGGCGTTGTTGGTTGTTGGTGGTGTTTGGGTTGGCGTGTGTTGTGTGTTGTTGGCGGTGGTCGTTGTTGTTGTTGGCGGTGGTTGTGTGTTGTTTGTTGGGGTGGGTGTTGTTGTTGTTGGCGGTGGTGTGTTTGTTGTTGTCTGGCGGTGGTCTGCGTGGTTTGTTGGCGGTGGTCGTTGTTGTTGGGCGGGGTGTTGTTGGGGGTGTTGTTGCGTGTTTGTTGTTGTGGCGGTGTGTTGTTGTTAGTTGTTTGGCGGTGTTGTTTGTTTGTTTTGGCGGTGTTTGTTGTTGTTGTGTGTTGTGTGCTTGGTGTGTGTTGTTGTTGTTGTTGGCGGTGTTGTTGTGTTGTTGTTGTTGGCCGGTGTTGTTGTTGTTGGTTGGCGGTGTTGTTGGTGTTGTTGGGGTGGTGTGTTGTTGTTGGTGTTGGTGGTTGTTGTTGGTGGCGGTGTTGTTGTTGTTGTTGTTGTTGGCGGCGTTTGTTGTTGTTGTTTGTTTGTTGTTGGCCGGGGTGTTGTTTGTTTGTTGTCTGTTGTTGTTGTTGGCGGCGGTGTGTTGTTGGTTGTTGGCGGCGGTGTTGTTGTTGTTGTTTGTTGTTGTTGGCGGCGGTGTTGTTGTTTGTTGTTGGCGGGCGGTGGTTGTTGTTGTTGGTTGTTGTTGTTTTGGCGGCGTGTTGTTTGTTTGTTGTTGTTGGGGCGGTGTTGCTTGTTGTTGTTTGTTGGCGGCGGTGTTGTTTTGTTGTTGTTGTTGTTGTTGTTGGCGGCGGTGTTGTTGTTGTTGTTGTTGTTTGTTGGCGGCGTGTGGTTGTTTGTGTTGTTGTTGTTGTTGGCGGCGGTTGGTTGTTGTTGTTGTTGTTGTTGTTTGGCGGCGTGTTGTTTTGTTGTTGTTGCGGCGGTGGGTTGTTGTTGTTTGGCGGCGGTGTTGTTGTTGTTGTTGGCGGCGGTGTTGTTTGTTGTTGTTGGAGGCGGTGTTGGTTGTTGTTTGTTGGCGGTGTTGTTTTGTTGTTGTTGGCGGTGTTTGTTGGTTGTGTGTTGTTGGGGTTGTTGTTTGGTTGTTGTTGTTGGCGGTGTTGGTTTGTTGTTGTTGGCGGTGTAAATAGCATATAGATACTCAGTTGTTGCGCGTGTTGGTTGTTGTTGTTTGTTGGCGGTGTTGTTGTTGTTCTTGGCGGTTGTTGTTGTTGTTTTGTTGTTGTTGTTTCTTGGCAGGTGTTGTTGTTGTTGTTGTTGTTCTTGCGGTGGTTGATGTTGTTGTTTGTTCTTGGCGGTGTTGTTGTTGTTGTTGTTCTTGGCGGTGTTTGTTGTTGTTGTTCTTGCGGTGTTGTTGTTTGTTGTTCTTGGCGGTGTTGTTGTTTGTTGTTGTTTTGACGGTTGTTGTTGTTGTTGTTGTTGTCTTGCGGTGTTGTTTGTTGTTGTTGTTCTTGGCGGTGTTGTTGTTTGTTGTTCTTTGGCGGTGTTGTTGGTTGTGTGTTGTTCTTGGCGGTGGTTGGTGTTGTTCTTGGCGTGGTGGTGTTGTTTGTTGGCGGTGGTGGTGTTGTTGTTGGCGGTGGTGGTGTTGTTGGTTGGCGGTGGTGGTGTTGTTGTTGGCGGTGGTGGTGTTGTTGTTGGCGGTGGTGGTGTTGTTGGGGTGGTGGTGTTGTTGTTGGCGGTGGTGGTGTTGTTGTTGGCGTGGTGGGTGTTGTTGTTGGCGGTGGTGTTTGTTGTTGGCGGTGGGTGTTGTTGTTGGCGTGGTGTTGTTGTTGGGCGGTGGTGTATGTTGTTGGCGGTGGTGTTGTTTGTTGGCGGTGGTGTTGTTGTTGGGTGGTAGTTGTGTTGGCGGTGGTGGTGTTTTTGTTGTTGGCGGTGGTGGTGTTGTTGTTGGCGGTGGTGGTGTTGTTGTTGGCGCGTGGTGTTGTTGTTGTTGCGGTGGTGTGTTTTGTTGTTGGCGGTGTTGGTTTGTTGTTGCGGTGTTGTTGTTGTTGGCGGTGTTGTTGTTGTTGGCGTTGGGGTGGGTGTTGTTGTTGTTGGCGTTGTGGTGTTGTTGTTGTTGGCGTTGGGTGGTGTTGGTTGTTGTTGGCGTTGGTGGTGTTGTTGTTGTTGGGTTGGTGGTGTTGTTGTTGTTTGGCGTTTGGTGGTGTTGTTTGTTGTTGGTGGTGTTGTTGTTGTTGGTGATTGTTGTTGTTGTTGGTGGTGTTGTTGTTGGTGGTGTTTGTTTTGTTGGTGTTGTTGGTGGTGTTGTTGTTTGTTGGTGGTGGGTGGTGTTGTTGGTGGTGTTTGTTGGTTGGTGGTGGTGGTGGTTGTTTGGTGGTGGTGTTTGGTGTTGTTGGTGTTGTTCGTTGTTGATGTTTGTTGGTTGGTGGTGGTGTTGTTGTTGGGTGGTGGTGTTGTTCGGTTGTGGTGGTGTTGTTTGTTGTGGTGTTGTTGTTGGTGGTGGTGTTGTTGGTGGTGGTGGTGTTGGTGGTGTTTGTGTTGGTGGTGTTGGTGGTGTTTGTGTTGGTGGTGTTGGTGGTGGTGGTGTTGGTGGTGGTGTTGGTGGTGGTGTTGGTGGTGGTGTTGGTGGCGGTGGTGGTGGTGTTGGTGTTGGTGGAAGTGTTTATAAGGTTACGATTTTCAATAAAATATCCAGTTATACACATATCTAATTAACTTGATTAATGTAAAGGAAAATTGAAGTTATTTACTCAGTTCACAAATGTTGTCAATGGTGTGTCATTATTCACACTCTTCGTATAAGATATTCTTCATATATGATACTAGGTTAGCTGTCATCTCTATGTAAATTCCGTCATGGAATTTCGTAGTTTGAACAAATTTGTGTTTCTGTAGGGCTTAATTAGCCTAAAAGTCCTGGTTTAAAATCATTGACAAGTTAATTTTGTGCATAAAAATGAACATAATACTTAGAAAAAAAGATTTAAATCCAAGAAACAAATGAACTTCTTCAATAATTTTTTGTAATTTAATTAATATCAGAAGCAATGTAAAAATCTTAAATTGTGTATGACTAAAACTTTTGTAACAATGCCAATTTTATAAAAATATATATTAGTTTTTATCTGTCTTAAGTAGCATTACAAATTATCTATTTTCTATGAAGTTTTTTTTATGAAAACTCATTTTTAGAGGTGACCTGTCTATATAATGTTTTATCAAAATTTAAGTTAAGCTCCTAAAGAAAGAGTTCTAAATTTCAGTACGTTATCTCTGCAAATTGAAATGCACAAACATTACTCAGGAAAAAAAATCATATGCTTTAACTGAACTTCATTACTTTAATTCATATAATTCCTTAAGGCTAAGATTTGAGCAACAAAATCCATGCAAAATTTGTCAAAATGCAATGTATCCGTGTCAAAATATCTCCATCTCAATCCAGAAAATAATCGATACTTTAGCAAATATTTTCTGTTGTCTTCCCTCCACCAAATGCATAAAAGCTGACACAGGATCATCCAAATTCAATTTTTCATTCAATAGATTAATACATAAAATGGGTAAAGGAGAAAGAATTGAAAGTAGATACAAGAAATAATATGTAGGGTTTTTCAGTTTTCTGAGAAAATATTTTTCAAAGTAGAATCATTTCCCAACACACTAAGAAATTATCAAAAATTACTATTGTCTCCACACACATTGCTCGCAATTTGTTTCACTGGGTAGCCCACTCCCAAAATTCTCAAATGCTACTTAAAAGAATGACTTTAATCCAACTCTTCTCAATAAATCAATTTATTTTACTGCAATTTACTAAAGTATTGCGGGAGATTCATGCTCACAAAATAATTAGCACAATGAAATATTTAGTCTTCATTGGCCAAGTAAAACAGACTCACCTGAGAGCTGTAACATGCAATGATGCAGGCATGCCAATTCACTTTACAGTAACATTTCATTCTTTCACTTGTATATATATCACATACATGAGAAAATTGCCATTGAAAAGAAACAACAAAATACATTCTTTACAACAAACTTGACATGTAAATGCATGCAGTGAAAACACACACATTGATAAGAAAGTAAGCAAGTTGAAAAGTCACATTATCCACCAACATGAAATTACAGGTGCAAAGTACATGAGCAATATTTCTTTAAATTCACAATGCTACAGGTCATGCAATTATTGTGACATGCTAACAAAGTTTTTCTGTACATTGCAGTGTATGTACTGTCTGTGTATGTACATTGCAGAATAATGGTGCATTATTAATGATTTTTTAAAAGCTATTAAAGCATAAACATGAATTACTAGTGCTTGTTAGATTAAAGGAAGAATTATTACATTAAAATACATATCAAACCTAACTCCCTACAGTTTTAGAAAAGTAATAATTTTGTAATTTCATAATAGTTATTAAATTAGCTTAAATGTTTCTACATGGGCATGTTTTTTAGTGATATAATTTTGCTAGAAGAAAAAGCACAATGTTGAAGAAACATTTTTGCACTCCTAGAAATACTTGATATCACGGCAAGTGTCTTGTCAATAGGTGTGATCAAATATCTAATTACATGAATTTTCTGGATATCTTACAAAAAAAATAAAAGAAGAAATTGCTTTTCCTCTTGTCCTCCACACCCAATGAATACATAATCCCACATAAATCATAAATGTTTTTAAAAAGAATTACTCAGACAATGAAATAAAAGAAAATAGTATCTCTTTGTTTACCTTTAGTTTGTGATTGAAAATTCAAAGAACTCTCTAGCTACTAAAACTAAAGAGACATTAAAATGAGCTACCATGAATAATAAATAAACACAACTATGTAGACTATTTTAATAAATACAAGACAAATGAAAAGATATTTACCACCATAAACGCATTGATTACTATTATTTAAGCAGCCCAAAAAATGATTTTTCTATCTTCAAACTTCAACACAAGGAAATTAATTATATGAAAAATATAGAATACAAAACAGGCAGACCTGTTTCAATTGCATTACCCTTTTGAATAAGAGGTGCATGTGCACAAAAGGATAATCTAAGAATTGAATTCAAAACTAGAGAGTAGCAAAAACTATTTCTTGTTGTAGAGATTCTTGAGCAGCATCCATTTACAGAACAGAACACATGGACAAAACAGACAACACCACCAAGAAAACCTACCTATCACCATGAAACAGCTCTTGCCGGTTGCGGCCATCAAACGACACCCACGATGTATTTCGGCTGTCTGGTGACACCGAGATCTAGAAACATGCAACATGTCTTCAGCAGCAGCCAAGAACCCCAAGTTTGAACAAAATGAGAGAATATACCCTTTAACTTTTAATTTTCATTTCAACTTATTGATGTCACAAGTGGAATCTGGACATTCAGGAAACCTACAAATTCAAAGTAATAGAAAACAAAACAATACAGATGTCAACAAAATCTAATTTCATACAAGGGGATATAAACAAGTAATATTTTCTTTTCATTATTTATCTGCATGACACACTTCATTTTCATGACTGGAAAGATCTTCACTGTAAAAACAAAGCATAAGCTGGGTTTAAAATTTGGTCTTCAACATAAAGAAATCGAAGCATAAGACAATGAGAGAAGAGGAGAAGTGTGTGTGTAATCACACACACACCCACACACACATGCATACACGCACGCACACTCACACACACACACACACACACACACATATGTGAGCTATGTGAAACTCTTACAACAGTATTTATTTGTTTTTATAAAAATTTCCCATTAGAAAAGTTCTGAACAAATACTCTTCTCTTTTGAATTAAACGGATGAAATGATGGGAATCAACTTACCTTTAGTTCCACCCCAGCTGGTACAACAATTGGGCGGAAGGAGAGTGAATGTGGGCAAATAGGTGTCACCATGATAGCTGGGACATTAGGATGAATCATAGATGCACCTGCTGCCACAGCATACGCAGTGCTACCTGTTGGTGTAGATACGATAAGCCCTGTAATACACACAAACGAAATTTCCTCAAATGGAGAAATTCTAAAACAGAATATTCATATTTACAAATAAACATCAATGAAAAACTTATTTGTTTTTACAGAAATACTTTGGCATTTCAAACTTTTTATAAATATGGTTTCTTCAATTTTAAGTGAAATATTACTTATCTCGTAACACAAATCTTACAATCCATATGGATAGGATAGTGTACATGTCCATTCATTCACAGTTTCACTCACACACCAATCTTTGCATATTATACACACAGCTCAAATATACTTTTATTTTTTACTGGATTATAAGTAATACTCATAAATTGTTTGGAAAACTATTATTACCTACCATCTCCTTGAACTGAAGTGATATGCTTGCCATCAAGAAAGAGATCAATATTGGAGAGGTACGGGGATGGACCTCGATCAATCACTACTTCATTTAGCACTAAGAAGGTTGAAGGTGGTTTTATTGGGCTGTTTAAAGCTGCTTTGCCAACTCCAACACTGACATTATTGCCATCATTTTTCCTCATAATCATGCATCGTAACCTGCTGCGTAATGTCAAAGCAGCATGGCCTGAGAAAAAATGTTCAGTCAAACTTTTTTGTCATTTTATCTACAAATGTAGTTGTTATACATAATACTTTACATAAGAAAACAATTAAATAAAATTGTTTTGTGATTTATTAGCTATCAAGAGAGGGAGAGAAAGAGAGAGAGGGAGAGAAAGAGAGAGAGAAAGAGAAAGAGAGAGAGGGAGAGAAAGAGAAAGAGAGAGAGAGGGAGAGAAAGAGAAAGAGAGAGAGAGGGAGAGAGAGAAAGAGAGAGGGAG